GTCATTGTTGTTTGGCGGGTCCGGGCTGGGGATTCGAACCCGCCACCTTAGGTGTACGTGGCTGGCGCCTTAGCCGGTTGAGCTATAGGCGCCGAGCCGGAAAAGTTTTTTAAAAGAACAAACAGTTTTTAAAAAAGGAATTATGACTTTTAAAAGTTTATTTTTCTAAATTATATTGAAAGTAATGGATGAAAAATCATGCTCAACTGAAGGAACAGTGGATCTTTGTATCACCTGCGGTCTGAGTTACTGACAAATTAGGTATGTATACATCATGTATACATCGTACTGGTTCCTTTACAGATCTGAGGTAGCACAGGGCAGCAGGCTGACATAACAGTTCTACAAGGCACCATTGGTTTTGAGTGATGTAATGCTAGCATCTAAGCTCCAGAAATACAGAAAATATTGAATATGGTATATAGATTTTTTTTTTTTTTTGCAATTTCTTTTAATTCTATACTGCATTAGCGTTGATAGTACATTCATTATGCTTTGTGTTCAGGTCTTTTTGGAAATCTATTGTGAGATTCCTTCAAAGTCCCAAATGCAAATTGCTCCTTCAGGTAAGCCCCTATGCTCCATCGAGCACAATTTAAGCCTTGGGTTAGAACAGATTTCTGTGTTTTTCCTGTGGCAGATATTTTCAAATAGGTTCTTCCTCATATCTTTGTAACCTTTTTGGTTAAGACCATTATTTTCTTGATGTTTCCTAAAATCCTCCCATACTTTAATCACATGACTTCTTTAAAATATATATATGCACATATACTGAAATATAAACATATATATTTAGACTTTATAGAAACAGAGATGCCAAAATACTGAGACATTCCAGGATCATGGTGATGTCCACACAATGGAACAGACCCTTTGTTAGGTGAAGCTCATCTTACTAGTTCTGCTTTCAGAGTTCAAATGCTCATCCAGCCACACTGTTCTTGCTTTAGAATCACAAAACTTGGTCCAACAACTAATAATGGCCATTCACCCTTTCTGCCTCCCCTCACGACGTATTACATCACTTGCACTTCTCTAATTCTTAACTTCTAGTTAACTTGGCCCTTCTTGTTAGTCAAAAAATGAGCTGCATTACATAATGTGCCACCACTGCACAGCAAATAAACTGATAAAGTTATGCCAGTGTGCCCACATAAAATCTACTATTGAACTGGTTATTAAAAATCTGTTCTGCTGAAAAGGCCTTCAAACTCTCATCCTATACAATTATTAAAAAACCCATTTAGTAGAGACAAAAACGGAAAGCATCAGAAACGTGCTAGTAAATGCTAGCTTATACATTCTGCTGTTCATCTGTAGATGTTTATCTTTCATAAATTATCTATATAATAAACCTATATTGCATCTTCCTACTCTTAAGTTTTAATACATTCATTTTTTCCTACCCATTTCCTATCTTCTAAGATGTTTTTTCTCTTAATGGTTTTCAAACTTCATTTTCAGTGAAGCTCTGTTTGAATGAAATCTTATATAACATATAAAAGTTAAAAACAGAAACTGCTCTGAAATAAGGGGGGGCAGTAAGACAGTTTGAAAATTACTGCTCTAAATCATTCAAGAAAGCTGAAGTAAAATTAACAGCCAATTAGAATTTCTTCCAATGATTATAAATAACTTCTCCATTGATTTCAATATTTTATCTCTCTTTTTTTTTTTTTTTTGCAACAGGGTCTCACTCAATTGCCCTGGCTAGAGTGCAGTGGAGTCATCATAGCTCACTGCAGCCTCTAACTTCTGGGTTCAAGCAGTCCTTCTGCCTTAGCCTTCCACGGAACTGGAACTACAGGTGTTTCTGGCTTAGATGTTTTCATTCTTTTGTAGAAGGGGACGGGGAGATCTTACTATGTTGTCCAAGCTGGTCCTGAATTCCTGGCTTCAAGCAATACCTCCTGCTTTGGTCTCCCTAAGTGTAGGGATTAGAGGCATGAGCTTCCATGTCTAGCCTGATTTCAATTTTTTTTGAGACAGTTTTTTACTTTGTCACCCTTAGTAGAATGTCATGGCATCATAGCTCATAGCAACCTCAAACTCTTAGGCTCACACAATCCTCTTGCCTCAGCCTCCTGAGTAGCTGGGACTATAGGCGCCTATCACAAGGCATGGCTATTTTTTTTTTTAAGAGATGAGGTGTCACTCTTGCTCAAGCTGGTCTTGAATTCCTGAGTTCAGACAATCCACCCACCTCAGCCTCCCAGAGTGCAAGGATTATAGGCATGAGCCATCACACTCAATTTCTGATTTCAATTTTTAAGAACTTTTTTTGATACTAGGTCTTTCTATGTTGCCAGGGTTAGAGTCCAGTGGCATCATCATAGCTCTGTGCAATCCTCCTGCCTCAGCCTTCCACATGAAGGCTTAGAACTACAGGCATGAGCCACCATCTCAGCCCAGAACATTTTTTGAGCATAGTTGTTCTCATCTCAGCTTATTAACAGAAAAAAAGCACAGTGCCTTACATAAAGAATTTAGTTTAAGTACATTATGGTTTAAATCTGTATTTTCTTTTTTTTATACTACTCACAACTACATTATTCAAGTGGGTTTTATCAGTACCATGCGCTAACCGACTGCGCGACTGGAGCTCTTAAAGTGGGTTTTAAAGATACTTAACACGTGCTAGAAAAAATTTTCTAAAATTTAACATTGCTTCATAATTATAATTACTTTAGTCCAAGTTCAAACACTGTCTGAAAGATTCTTTACAGTCTCAACTCAAGAAAACAAAAATCATTCTGTAGTTACTCTGAAAAGTATGTTCCTGTGCAATGATTTGGTTGCTATATTTTGGAATTTTAAAAAATCCCTTGGTTATAGATACCATGTTGTATTTCAAACCTGATTTGCTCAAAAAGGCAAAGAAGAAAGTCACCAATTTTTAGGTTTGTCAAGGCTTAGATTATTAGAAAGATTTTACAAAAAGTAAAAAATAAAAATTTTTTTCCTAAGATAAGCTCTTTTGTGCTTTCAGGCTATCCTTTTGCATTTATTAGCCTCCTTCCACATACATGGAAGGCCTTCAAAGTGACTTTTTCATAAGCCATGCCTTCTATAATCAACTCTGAGCTTAGCTTTTTAAAAGGCACCCCTGTTCCTCTATGTTCCTCACTGGCTGAACGGGCAGTACTAGGTGTGAAATACGGCTCCAGAGGCCACTCAGTTTGTCTGAGTCCATGTGGTTGAAGGAGCTAGGAGTGTTAGCATTGGTAAACTTGGCCCACAGTAAATCCCTCACTTTTTCTTCCGTTTCTCTTGGGCCTACACTTGCTTCTAAAGTTTCCTCCTCTAGTAGAACAGTCAGGACCAGGGCCACATCTTTAAAGGCAGCATTTTCATGATCACAATACTTGTAGAAGATCAAGGTGGAGCCTGCAGGAAGGGATTCAAAGTTGTGCACCACGGCAGCCTTCTGGCCATTCTCAAATCCATTGCTCAGCTCCATGTCAACCAACAGCTTGACTGTGTCACTGTCCTGTGAGGTTCTTCCAGCCCCATCGATCTCAATAGCAGAGACCTTCTGAGAAGAGGTGTAGGCATCCGCAACGTGGTGGCTCAGGCACTTCAGGGTCTCTCTTCCATCTCGAGCTGCTGTGAAGATGAGGGTGGCTGGCTCAGTGGGGTTTGAAGCATTGAGGTGCTTCTGGAGAAACTTACGTCCTCTCTGCCACAGGAAGGAACTCTGGCCTGGAAATTTATCCTTCAGTTGGCTGAAGTGAGCCAAGAAAGCCTCCAAAGCTGGCTTTTGGGGTACTTGCTGTGCTGAAAATGAACAGTAGCCAAGAAGACTTAGCATAATAATCGCAACCATGAAGCCAACAAAGATGGGACCTGCCAAAAGAATGAGGAAAGAATAGAATATTAGAACATGAGTCAGAAACAAAGCCTGCAGTAAACTAAAGTGAGGCAGAGATACTGTCAGATTTTATTCTGGAAGTAGTATGTATCTTTTGCCTAAGTCATTTAAACTGTCTGCTATTAAAGTTTACCAGAAATAGCCTTTCTCTAATCTCTTCTCAGATTATTCTTATTATTTTGTTGTTGCAGTTTTTGGCCAGGGCTGGGTTTGAATCCGCCACCTCTGGTATATGGGGCCGGCACCCTACTCCTTGAACCACAGGCACTGCCCTCTCCTCCAATATAATACAATATCCTTGCTAAAAGGTTAAAATCTAAGTTTATATATTTGTTCTAACTTATAAAGTGATTTAGAAATGAACTATCAGGATTTTCTTCCACCTTCTCAAAGTACCTATATAGCAGAACTTTTTCTTTATAGGGGTCAAACCTTAAAAATGTCTCTTGGGAAGTTAATACTCTAATTGAAAAGGCAGTTTTAGACTCCTGTTTAGGAAAAGCCCTTTCTACTCTGGGAATTTCCATTCTATTAAGCACAGTAAAACATTAGCCAGCACCCTTAAGGGAAAAATCCCTAAAACTTTCTTGTTCTATTTCACTATGAGTTATTATTAAACACTTAAAAATATATATTAATATAGCCAGGGACAGTAGCTCATTCCTGTAATCCTAGCACTCTGGGAGGCCAAGGTGTGAGGACTGCTTATGCTTACAAGTTGGAGATCAGCCTGAGGAAGAGTGAGACACCCTCTTTACAAATAAAAATACAAAAATAAGCCTGCTGTTGTGGCTGGCACTTACAGTCCCAGCTATTTGGGAGTCTGAGGCAGGACGATCACTTGAGCCCAAGAGCCTGAGGTTGATGTGAGCTAGACTGATGTCATAGCACTCTAGCGAGGGCAACAAAGTGAAACTCTGTCTTTAAAGAAAAAAAGGCAGGGGGAGGATAGGTGGAGGGAAGGTAATTGGTGGGACCACACCTAAGGTGCATCTTACAAGGATACATGTGGAATTTACTAGGTGTAGAATATAAATGTCTTAACACAATAACTAAGAAAATGCTATGAAGGCTATGTTAACCAGTTTGATGAAAATATTTCAAATTGTATATAAGACCAGCACACTACACCCCGTGATTACATTAATGTGCACAGCTATGATTTAATTTAAAAAAAAAAAGAAAAAAGTTAATACAAGTTAGAACTATTTAAATCTGTTAGTTTTCTCGGTATTCTCACTGAGGATTTCTGTATGTGAATCAACACTGCAATAAAACCACATTTGTTCTCACCATAGCACTGAAAAACCTTTTCCTTAATCTTTCTTATGGCGTCTTGTGCATTATCATTGTTTTCTTCCAATTTTTGTGTTTCTTGTTGATGATTTTCAGGCTCTAGGGGAGAAAAGAATCAATATTATTTTTAGATGGCACACTATTTACAGTGTGTATACCTTTATACCTCTCCTCAACCCAAAGAATTATTTGACTAAGAAAATTCTTATTATATTTTGTAAAATTTTCTTTTGTACAAAGCTAATTTTTTTCTACCATTTCCTTAAAGCCTCACTACTACTATCACTCTACTTAGAAAAATAAAATGAAGTGATGTGAAATTCATTCAAGATTACTGTTGCTTTATTCACAATTCCTCACTGCCCCTTACATCAAAGACAAGGAAACAACATTCTAATAGCAGCCAAAGCTATCTAAAATATGACTCAACAAAAGGTACCAAATTAAGAAAGGATTTAAGGAATGTCAGCTGTGCACAGGATTCCACATCCTGGGGCAATGGTGCTCTAATTCCAATCTCACATGACTTCTCAAGAACCCAAGTGTAAAAATAACTGAAGTATTAAGTTCAGAGAAATTACTACACGCTTGCAAAATAGCTTACAAAAGCAAAAACTCTCCATGAAGGAAGTGTACAAAGCAAGGAAAAGAAAATGAAGAACATTTGTGGAATATGTAAAAATACAGGTGCAGGGTGAGCACATCAATGTTAAAATGTGTGGGTGAAATGAAGGCCAACATTTTATAGCACTCTAAGCTTAATCACGCTAGAATCTAAATGTTATATACCCAGCCAGGGACCTCTATTAGCATATACGAGTATAAAGGAGAGCTCCTATCACACCAAAAACTAGGTTCTTAAAATATCCTATCATGGAATTTCGGAACTGAAAAGATCTTCAATGAACACCAACTCCAGCATCCTAATAACCCTTAACGTGAAAAAAGGTCCAAGAATGTTAACAGCCTAGTCCAAGGTCATATAAAGAGAGGTGGCTGAGTTGAGATCAGAAAAGATTTCTTACCTCCTAGGTTATATTGTGGATTAGCTCATTTTGCTAAGTTAAATAGCTTCCTACACATACACTACATTTTTCTTTTTCTTTTTTTTTTTTTTTGAGACAGAGCCTCAAGCTATCTCCCTGGGTGAAGTGCCATGGCATCACAGCTCACAGCAACCTCCAACTCCTGGGCTCAAGGGAGTCTCCTGCTTCAGCCTCCCAAGTAGCTGGGACTACAGGCACCTGCCACAACGCCTGGCCATTTTTTGGTTGCAGCCATCATTGTTGTTTGGTGGGCCCGGGCTGGGGATATACACTACATTTTTCAACAGTATTTTCTTTTTTCTACTTATAGTGAACCTGCATAATAGCGAAATTCTGATGGCAGATAATGGTCCATACAAATCACATTTATTCATTCATTCAACATTCATAAAGTTGTTTCTTTATGCCAGAAACAAGAAACACAATGAATGAAAGGGACATAATCCTTGCCTTCACTGAAGTTATAGACTAGTAGCTAATAAATGAAACATATATTTAAGTCAGCTATTGACTAAAATGAAACACACATTACTAGCACTTGGTCAAGTCTCTGGTAAACAGAATGTCTGAGAGAACAGAGTATCATCTCGTCCAATTTCTTCATTTTACCAATGAAACACTAGAATGCTAGGCAGTTAAGAGACTTGCCCACGGTCACGCCAGTTAGCAAGGGGTAGGGCCCCAATTGCAATCTACTGTAAGGATTTAGCACACTGCAACTCTCAACCTTCATAAGGGAAGACACGCTCATTTCTCTTATTATATAAGCAAAGAAAATCAGGTATAAAGCAATTAACTGATTTACTCAAAGTCCTAAAAAACTGAAATATGACTGAGCTAAGGATACCATACCATTAACATTTTTTAAAAAAATATGCCCAGCTTGGCTGGGAACAGTGGCTCACACCTCTAATCCTAGCACTTTGGGAAGCTGAGGCAGGAAGATCACTTGAGCTCAGGAGTTTGAAACCAGCCTGAGCAAGAGCCAGACCCTATCTCTACAAAGAAATAGAAAACTTAGCTGGCCATGGTGGCACCTGCCTGTGGGAGACTAAGGCAGGAGCTATGATGATGCTACCACCTGCTAGCCAGGGCAACAGAGTGAGACTGTCTCAGGGAAAAAACAAAACAAAAAAACTAAAAGAAAAAACTATACATAAGTATCTTTTTTTTTTTGAGACAGAGCCTCAAGCCGTCACCAGGTAGAGTGCTGTGGCATCACATCACAGCTCACAGCAACTTCCAACTCCCAGGCTTAAGCAATTCTCTTGCCTCAGCCTCCCAAGTAGCTGGGACTATAGGCATCCGCCACAAAGCCCGGCTATTTTTGGGTTGCAGCTGTCATCGCTTCGCAGGCCCAGGCTGGATTCGAACCTACCAGCTTAGGTGTATGTAGCTGGTGCCTTAGCCACAGGCACCCCAACATATATATTTCTTAATTTATGAAACATTTAGTTTCCCCAAAAGTAGAAGATTTTTTTAATTGTAAATAAAAATACGCTCATAAATAAAGAAAAGGCCAGGGGCAAATTTTTTAAAAGTGATGTCATGTTGCATTAATATAAACAGTAAGTAAAAACATTATTAAAGTACAGTCTGTGTAGAAAACAACTTCCTGTAATGCAATAAGCTAGTCTAGGAGAAGAGAAATTTCATTCTAATCTCAACTCAACCACACTGCTTTGTGTGATCCCCAAGATCACACAAAGTTCCTATGAAAGACAGGCAAAAGTTCTCTTGCTGTGGTCTTAGTAACATAACAATACACAACAGTATAGTTCAGTGGGTTCTCTCACCTGGCACCGGCTGTCGCCTCCTCAGTGTATCCTGGCCCTCTAGACCAGGACTCTGGGCCAGGAGGGCTATGGCAGCAGGTGGTTCCTGAGAAGCTCTAGTCCTGTTGCTCACTTCCTCAGGAAAGGCTGCAGGGCTGCTGTCTAATTGCGTATCTGCTCTTCCCTGGCCACTTGGAGAATGGGCAGGGTCTGGGTCCAAGGCTTCTTCACCCAGACTTCCTGAAGAGACATGATGCCCTTGTTCTCCATCCTGAAAACTCGGGTTGTTCTCATGTTCTGTTTTATCCGTTGGATAGTCCCCTAAATTTGTTTCATCTGGACCTTCTAAGGTATCGCCTGTATCTGCTCTTCCCTGGCCACTTGGAGAATGGGTAGGGTCTGGATCCAAGGCTTCTTCCCCCAGACTTTCTGAAGAGACATGATGCCCTTGTTCTCCATCCTGAAAACTCGGGTTGTTCTCATGTTCTGTTTTATGCTTTGGATAGTCCCCTAAATTTGTTTCATCTGGTTTTTCTGAGGTATCGCCTGTATCTGCACTTTCTGGACCTATTGTCTCTATCTCTTGGTGGTCTTTGTTAAGACTAGAGGCAGAGTATGCAGCCTGAGCTTCTTCAGTGGTACTTGCTGTGACTGTGGTCTTCAGTGCCTGAGAATTTACTGATGGATCATTTTCCAAATCCTTTTCAGAGTCTATTGAGATAAAAATTTATAATTTTTATTGAAAAAAACCCCATATTTTTGTATTTCAACAAGGTCCCTGATTAATAATATTTATATAGATTCTCATAGTTTACAAGGCACTCTAATTTTAGTTCTCTTGGCTTCCTCTAAAAGTGATTAAAATAAGCAAATTAATTATCATGTTAATAAATCCAACAAATACACTAATATAAAACAATTCTGAATGACAGAACCAGCTTTTCATTACATTATCTTCTTCTTTAATGAAAGGCAATGATGATCATCCATGGCAGCTAAAACTATTATGCAAAAAGCTGATGGAGTATTTTACAATGGATGAACCAGACTAACAAATGCTAAACCCGTATGATCAATCTTACAAAAACAGGGAAAAACCAGGGATCATTAACCTCCCAACACAATGCACTAAGAAATACACTAGATCACCTGATTAGTATTCTTGCCAAACAAGTGAACTTGAATCTGATCAAACTTTTAGAACTATCAGCTTTCCAAGAAATATAGAAATATATTAAATTATGCTTCAGAAAGGGGCAAATTCCAAGAGACAAAAGACTGCATTTCTTTAATAGCAAGAAATAAAAATAAATGGGAAAAAAGGAGGGGTAACCTGTGGGAGACTCAGGAGATCCATTAACCAAATTCAATACATAGACCATAATGTTTACAACCAGTTTAGAATAAACCAATCATTAAAAAAAAAATTGAGACAATCAAGAATATCTGAATGCCAGTCATTTGATGACAGTAAGGAATTATTATTCATCTTTTTTAGAAATGACAAAGGTGCTTTGAGAACCTTTATTCTTTAGAAAAGAATTCTCTCTTTTAGAGAGACACATTCAAGTATTTATGGCTAAAATTATAGGATTTCCTACAAATTTCCTTTTTTTTTTTTTTTT